TGAAACAGGCATATTTGTTTTAAAACTACTAGTTTTAGCCTATATTAACAAATTTGAGCTATATTCAAGAGAAGAACTTCTAATTCAGAATAGCATCTAGATAAAAATACCGAGCATAGAAGAAGTAATAATATAAAGAGTAATTAAAGATAAAAATGTTTAAAAAGATTTAAAAGAGATAGCAGAAAAGCTAAAAAGGAAAAAGGTGTTAGATATTTATACAGATAGATCATTAGCAAGTGAAGAAATAGGAGATAATAGAAAAAAGAAAATAGGAATAGGTTGAGTAATAGATAATAGATATAATAATAGTTTAGATAATATATGTTTTAACAGTAGAATAGCTCAGAGCAATCTGGATAGCAATATTAGCAGTACTATGTAATACTCAAGTTAAGATCTTCTCAGATAACAAAGTAGCAATTGAAGGAATACTAAGTAACAAATCCTCAAATAGTATTTAAGATCTATTTAAAACTAAGAATAGAAGCTTAATTAGACAAATAAGAAAATACTGCAAAGTGAAAAATATTGAGTTAGAACTTTTCAAGATCAAAGATTATATTAGCAACTTATAGAATAACAAAGCAGACAAGCTCGCTAAGCTCAGTCTCAACTCACACAAAATAGTTAAGCCAAAAGATGTTAATACTGATAAAATTAAGGTTTTATCTAAATAGAAAAGCAATTTGATTAATTGCTCAATAAGAGCTTTCATAAATATTATAATAGCAATAACTTACAAAACAGAATAAGCAAAATTAAATAATACAAGTGAGCTAATAAATATAAGACTAGTAACTAACAACAATGAGACTATAAACTAGACAAATATATAGGATATATTAAAGAAAAATCAAAACAGAAAGTGCACAAGTCTCAAGAAAGTAAAGCTTTAATATTTAGAATAAAATGCATGAATAAGTTACTACCAACACATAACATATGTTACCAAAAAAAATCTAAATTATATAAAGGTAAAATATGTGTAATATGCTACAAAACAGAAGAAACTTTTAGCCACCTAGCTACTTGTAAGTTATATCAAGAGATTTGGAAATATACAGAAGAAATAATAATAGAGGAACTAGATTTGAAAATATTCGAAGAATGGGATCTATCAGTATCAAGTCCTATTTTTGCAAGCACACTCTTAGGTACAAACTTAGAGAAAAAGCTTAAATGAAGAAAGTTATACCTTTGAGGCCTCACAAGCAAAAAACAAACCAACAATATTAGAATATTACTAAGCTCTAGATCTAAAGCCAACTAAACAATAAGTTGGTTTATCAATAGATTTTAGTTTAATTTTTATGAAAAATTATGGAAGTTTTGCTGTGAAGTTATAACAAGTTAGAAAAAAGAAAATAAGATCAATATGTAAAAGAAAAAAGGAAAAAAGGAAAAACAGTCTAGATTTAGCCTAGCAAACAAAGAGAACAATTCTCTAGAAAATTCTCAAAAGAAAGAATCAGTAGCTAAGAAAAGAGAAAAAATTCTAAAAGATTCAAATAACCAAATCTCAAGATGGATCAAAAATGCAGATCACAAGAAATAATTAAAATTTAAAGTTAAATAAGCTTTCTTGATATGGGCTGGTAGTAACCTTCTTTTGATAGAGTCTAAATGGGTATGTTTAAACATATGTTTAGTCTCAGGAAGAAAATGCTGCTGTGACAGATCGCACTTAGGCATCTCTTAGACAGCTGAGTGAGTCCAGAATTACAATAAGGAAGGCAGTTTTAAAAGTAGAATAGTTTTTTTTTTTTATTATGTACTTGTCTAAATATTTTTTAATATTTCTTCTAATAAAATGAAGGGCAAGATCACCTAAGTAAAAAAAAAAAAAAAAAATATTTTACATGTGAGGTATTATATAAAAAAGATGGTATTAAATGACAATCTCAATATTTTATTTACGCTATAAAATTTTAATAAAACTATGCATATTATTTATATATAATTTGACGAACATAAATGTATCTTTTTTATTTATTTATTTTTTTTTAATTTAATTCATAAATATTAAAAATACGTACGTATGTACTGTTATGATTTTAGTTTATGTAAAGGCTATGTAAGGCTAAAGTGACAGCACGAAGCCTCAAGCGGGTCAGGTCTCTTAAGATCATGAAATGTATAAAACACAGGCTGTCTCATTTAATATAAAGAGACTTGTGAAAGAGGAGCTCACGTCCTTCTTGATAAAGTACATAAAATAATGATTTGCCTTCCTTTATTCCCAACCATCATTGATACTCGAATCTCAACTAGTTGAGTGAGATACCAACGCGTCCAAACCACATTAACTATTGTAGCTAAACTGTGCAATGTTGTCTGCTCTCCCAATTCATAATAGTAATAGTACGTACGGAATTCGTTTTATTTCACAGAAAACCACTTGATAGTTTAATCAATTCACAAAAAATTTCATTTCATATACAAATTACTTTATAGAAAAAATTATTTGCAGAAAAATTCATTTCATAGACAGTTCATTTCATAGACAATTTTTTTTACTATAAAATACTCTAACCTTAAACCCTAAACTTAAACTTATAAAAAAATTGTCTGTGAAATGAACTGTCTATGAAATAAATCTGTCTGTGAAATAACCTTTCTTAAATTAATTTGTCTATAAAATATAATTTTTTATGAATTAGTTTTTGTGAAGTAGAATTCTGTCAATTGATTTTCTGTGAAATAAACGCCACCTTTTATTTCTCATAGTATTATTAGGATTCGGCCATTTATCTCTTATATATTTAGCAATTCTTAAATAAAAATTTAAGAGTTTAATTCGAACAAATAAATTTGACATACAATTATTTTGACATATTATAATTGCAGTAGATACGAATTGTAACGACTGTTTGGGAGAGCGACGCTACTTTAGTCGTAAAACTGAATGGTATAGCGTCTAGCGTAAGTATAGTATTTATGTAAAGGCGATGCTTGAATACTAATTAGTTGGAACTTAACGAAAGAGATATTATTAAATATGAGCTATTTCCTTATTGAAATGGCTTCATACAAATGGGCTTAGACAATCACAATACTAATTTTAGTTAGATGGGTCATACTAAAAAGGAAAGCATAAATTACATTATACTTATGAGCTCGCCAAAATTAAAGCATGGAAATTTGGCGGCACTCATATACGGTAATATCTGAGCTTGACCCTAGAGGTACAATCAACAAATATTAGTGTCGTAAGCTGTCAAGTTTTGGGCAAGTAATTACAGGCACAAAATTTCCGGATGCGCTTTTTCTCCGGAGGTGTTTATTTTAACCGGAACTTGGAAAACAGCCGGATGTAGCAGTTTTTTAATAATAATATTATAATATTTATATACATACGTAGATATGATATCATATTCAGAAATTTTCCGACTGATAAAAAGTCAAAGCGGAAATTGTCATGACGAAACGGAAATCTCCGGTATTTTACAATAGATTTTTGTGCTCAGATTAGTTGACTTCAGCAAAACCATGATTAGAGTATACGTATTTGATACAAATTATATATAATCTAAGCATGGTTTGCTGTACACTAGCGCAATATTGTATACTAATATTTTTAGTATTAATTGATTTTTATTTTTCTCTATTCTTAGTTTCGAGAATTGGCGTTGTTATATGGAGTACCCATATTAAAAGGGCCAATTTTACATGTATTTATTAACAATTTGAATGAATAAAGTGTAAAAATATTATACGTATTCAAAATTTAATAATAAATTTTATTGAATATGTATAATCCTACGTACGTACTGTTACCGGCGGAAATATCAACCAACAAACAACAACAAAATGATCCGACTCTGTCGGTCCGGAATCAAGTTTCTTGCGTAACGTAAAGAAATATCTAAGCGGTTAAGGCTCTCTCGGCTGAGGCGTACGATTTGGTCGAGTAAGATAAGTCCCTTCTTATCTTATAGCTTTCTCTAAATCGTTCCTTATACAAATCACCAACTTATTTCTTTGATTATGCAAGGGGTTATGTAATTAACGAGGGCCGGGTTTGAGGATACAAGGGTTCTACCGGGGTGGGTCACGTGAATCACGAATTTAATGATCGGAGATTTTATTGAATAAGAAAAAGCAATAATTTATGCAACTAATTTATTTAACGATGTAACTTTGTGAAGATAATAAAGAACGGAATTTGATTATTTAATAAAAAAAGATCAATTTAATTTATATAATATTTATTTAATATTTGAAACCCGAGGGTTGTTCTTTACAAGAGCAAAACCAAAGGTCTTTTATAACTTTTGGTTCTTTACATTTTTAACACTATTTACATATTTTTCTTATTTTCCATTTTTTACACGATAAACCAATTTTACCGTATTTACATTCTTGACGGTTTTTACAGATGTTACGAGATTAACAATTATTACCGGTTTGACAATTTTTACATTATTTACAATTATACTAAATTTGGTAATAATTGCTATCTCGTGTCAAAACTCCCCGTGACACTAGTCATTTGTTATTTGAGTTATTTGGATCATTTCAAGTCATTCACCATCACTGGAACCCAGTGATCATCACATCACGTGAAATCATGCAATGACGTCATTTGTTTACCAGCACTAATAAATCGGCCGCCTAAACTAACCCTAACACTAACCCTAACTTAGGTCGAGTGTTTGATCTTGTGATGTGATGATCACTGGGTTCCGTGTTCTTGAAACTTCCCGTTAGAAGAAACCCAAGACATAACAAAGGAAGTACTTACCTACGGACATCCAAACCACTCGCCAAATCTAACACGCCTCTAACGACTAAGCCGCCCGTAGGTCCTGTAGATTAGTGTTGTTTAGTATTGAGAGATAAGGATCGTCTTATCACACTATATAATTTTCATGGTATTTGAATTTCGGCAATTATTATTTATAAATTAAATTATTGAAAATAGAAGAAATAATTACATAAATTTTTTTTATTTTATATACTAAATATATCTAAATATTTTGTTAAATTAAGATTATCTATTCTAATTTATTAACAATGTTAATTATTGATTTTTCTATATCTTTAAATGCCTTATCTTGCGATGATTTTATATCGTCAATTGTTGTTTTTAGATCTTCAATATCCTTAGCCTGCTTTATAATTATATCTTCCATTTGTTTAATATCGGGTTGTTCTTCAGGGAGTTGAAGAACTATTTTAAGATTTTTTGAAAGATAAGGCTTGATACCTTTGTTTTGAATATCTATTATATGCTCTCGAAGTTTATATGTATGACATCCATAGAAGCTTTAATATAAATATAAAATGTATAAATAAATGAATAAAATAAGGTTTGTTTTTACATGTAATTAAATAACTTACATAGTATTTGGGAACCAATTTTCTTTTCTTCGCTGATGTGGTAACATATAAAACAACTCAACTTCGTTAAGGATCTAAACAAAAAATGCTATCGATTATAGATTAAATTATAGAATTTTATTAAGCTAACTATTAAAAAAAATACCTCAGCGATTAAAATCAAATAAGAAATATTTCTAATATCTTTATCACGAATTAAATTACTAATAATTCCAATAAATAAATTCATCAAGTAAATTAGTGTAAAGAATGAAATTAGAATCATTAAGACCATTATTGTAGTATTTTCAGTTGAAATCCATGAAGAAATAGGAGTTAAATCCCCTAATACATAATAAAATAAATATTTTAAATAAATTATATACTGTAACAATAAAGTAATGACAAAGTTACTGCATATAATTACCTGTAATCATCATAT